CACTAAAAATAAATACATTCAAAATTATAAGGCGCTCAGATACTACGGTGATAGGAGCCTTAAACATGCCTAAGAGAAATGGATATGGGTTTATCATTGGCTTCAGCAGGAGCAGTGTTGAGTCAACACTCAATGCTTTTGAAAATTCCCATCCTGAATGGTTATAATTAGGCTTTTTGTAAAAGATAAATAGTGGGCACAGGCGAAGATAACATGAGGGATTGCAAGGTCACACACTATCCTTTTGCTGACAATGCTATCCTTTTGCTGCATTACAGAAATGTCACTACAGATGAATTTTTGTAAGTAATGGTCATTCCCTGGGAGCTTGGGAGTTTATGCTTTGAAATAAATATTAGGCAGGTATATGTTCAAGGGTGTTGTGTGTGCATTATTATCCCATATTGTCTGCCTTTAGCAATGGGCCTATATGGAATATATTCATATGCACCTTCAAAGTTTGTTATGGAATGAGACAGGGCTCTGAAGGAGCACCTGCACATTGAATGTGAAATTCCAGTCAACTTATATAAGCCTACTAGTGCCGTGCCAATAAAACACTGAGCGAATGTTAGTGAAAACCACATTATTGTAAGTCAGAACTCAAAGTATGTGCATGCAGGCTGTTTATTTTAAGTCCTTACAGACAGATTTTCACTGGACCACTAAAAAGCATATATCCAGCCTAAGAGCTATCTCCAGACCATAAACGTCATACCATAAACTACTAGAGCTGCTAAAAACAATTCAAAGTTTTTATTAAAATGGATTTTTTTTTGCTTTTTGTACTTGAAAAATGGGTGAATTGAGTTTGCTCAAAATCACCAGCTATTGAAAGTTGTAGACCAAATGTAAAGATATTAGAAAATTAGAAATCAAATTGTTGAGTTAAGAATGGAAATACTTAAGCAATCTTGACTGTAGGTATTACTATGTGCTCTGCCTATGTGTATAAATAAGAAATACTTGCCTAGCAAGCTGATTTTTAGATATAAATGGTAGCTGTTTGAAGCT